TCCATTGTGTAAATGTACCAAAGTTTCTTAATCCAGTCATCTACCGATGGGCATTTTGGTTGTTTCCAAGTCTTAGCTATTGTGAATAACGCCACAATGAACATAGGGGTACATATATTTTTTTGGATTAATGTCTTGGGATTTTTTGGATAAATACCTAAGAGTGGGATTGCTGGGTCATAAGGTATTTTTGATGAGACATGGATGTGACAATGAATTGCTCAGCTAGTTACCCCACTAACCATATACTTAGCATTTGCTGAACATGCTGGCTTTGCTATCTTCATCTTACCATTGGGTACAGAGTATAACATGTTTCTATTTTATTGATTTTATAAGGAAAGCTATAAACAAATGTCCTGATAGTTAAAAATCTTATAACATATACTTCATGCTTGCCAGAAAGTTCTACTGTATTTTAAGAATTTAAGCATTTATTTCAAATCTCTGTAATTAAAACACATTTGTAAGATAATGAAATAAAATAGCTATTTAATAGGGCAAAGAAGCTCTTTATTTCAAAGTTTTAAATAAATGTTATAAGAAATATTTATGGATTGCTTATCATTGTATTTTAAAATACTAGATTACTCTATTAACATTTATAAAAACAGAGCAATGTGCTTGAAAATGCTACACAGACACACAGTACAAGAGTAAGAATGTATTCTGAAACTGAGCCACTGAAGGGTAAAATATGGCATCAATTAAGAGTATAATTTTTTAACTTAGAAGTAAAAGTGTACTATGTCTAATAGAGAATTAAGAAACCTAATTATCTATATCTTAATTAGGCCAGCTGAAAAATGTCAGTTCTTTTCATTTAAAGGTCAGGTGTTGGATTCCAGTGATCAAATCATTCTTAGATGCAGCTTTAGCATCATATGCACAAAAATTTAAGCTCATCCCAGGGTAACTGATCCCAGTGTTTTAATACTGAGTAGGGTGGCACAGTATTAAGCCAATTTTAGTTCCTTACTGACAACACAGGTAACAATAACCAGTAAATATCCCATGTTGGAGGAGAGGAAGGGGTTGGAGACAGAGACAGTGGGAGACTTAGTCTATCCATGAGATCACCAGTGCTCCAGTCTAACTTGAGTCCTGCTAACAACCTATCACTCTTCAAAAGTTACTATCTAATTAATGACTCTCTGAAGCTTAGCATCACTTCCATTTTTTTCTTGAGGGACCTCCTAATGCTAGTCATTGTTTAGACATGAAAAAAATGATATATTCATCTCAGCGGACTTGCAAATCAAATGCAACTTTAAAAGATGGAGAAAGACAAAACTGACAAAGAAACAAATGTTTTATCCTAGATCATCATAATTGTGTTTGGCATTTAATTTGTGATCTTTAAATGTCTAGTAGTGCCCAGCATAGCATATGCCATAGGAAAAACTTAGGAGTACGCTTTAGGGCAAAATTAGAAATAGTGGTATTTAAGAGATCTAATATAATTAGGGCTAGAATTGAAACAGGTATAGTTTATGTCTTGTAGTTTTGATGGGATTCTAAAACTGAGCTTTATATTTAAAATGAAGTATAATCACAGGTAGTCATGTGGCTTTATTTTTTTAAAGACACACAGAGACAGTGAGTTATAAAATCTATTTTGAATCACACAGTAAGGTGATAAAAAGAGGAAAATGTTATTATCTGTGCAAATATTAAGGACTTATTTGTGAGTTGTTACAAGAGAAATTCAGCAAGCCAGTTAGTTGTAAAAGTAACACTATTAGTCCAAATAAGCAGGACATTGGCCATGTCACAGAGCTAGGTATAAACAGGTACACAGACATGGGAGGTGACAGGAAACATCTGTCTTTGAGGGATCATCAAATCACTGGAAGTGGAACAAGTGACAGATTTGAGTTGATGAGTGACACAGAAAATGTGTTGTGCCGGGAGGTTACTCACATTGCCTTAGAAATCTGTTTTGGTTTTGAGTTATTCGAACTGTTACCCAGAATAGGTAGGGAAATCAGGTCTTATGCAAAACAAATTCCGGAAGTGATTTAAATGAATGTGAGTTTCAGGATTACGGGCAAGGAAATATTACCACCACTTCCTTTGTTTCTAACAACAAGCAGGTCAATAAATGATTAGCACTGTGTGTTGCATGCTTCTGTCTATACAAAGGGGAAAGGTGAATTAAGGACTTTATTTGGAAAAAAGGAATTTAGGTATATTCATTCTTTCAACAAATGGTGTATATTATGTATCCCCTATGTATCAAGCTCTATGAAACTATATTTAACTTGCTATAGATAAGTGCTTCATTTATTCACTTTATTTTACACATATTTATATTAAACTTATTTAAAAAGGGCCCTTAATATTTCTCATGTTTCATCATGGATATTAGAAGTGATACTGATGATGAAGAATTCAATAAAAAAATCTGGCTGGTTATATGCAATTCTATAAATATCCAATTTCTGAATTAATGATTCATTTAAATGCCAGACATTGTCTTATAATGAGTTTTTGATCTGTATTTCCATAATGAATATAGAATTCAATATAAACAAATATCTGTGTTTCATTTTATGTAATGCTTAGCTCAACATACATATTTAGTACTATATGTAGTACTACAGTTCCCATCCCTGGGATCATGTTAATTCTAGAGAATTTGCATCACTTTTTTTAGTCAAAATGAGATTCAGATATGGAAGCTACTTAGGAGGGTTTGCTTCTCCTCAGGAAGGAAGAAACATAAAACACAACATGTTATCAAAGCATTATAAATGGGTTCATCTTCAGTCTTTCCTAAAATACATTTCTATTATATAGATCATTCTGACACATAGTCTTTAATGAGATTTTGAAGAGTCAAGTCTAAGTATGTCTTGCTCTTCCCCCAACCCCACCTCAGTGTCTGAGACAATTGACAGCATGATGCCCTTTTTCATCTTTATTCACCAAATAGTAACTGAGCCCTTGTCAGGTGACATGTTGGCAATGTACACAAAAACATATGACAGAATTCTTATGTCATTTATAGTCTAGTGGGGAAGATAGAACAAAATGGTAGGTAGAGTTGTTTGTACTTAGTAATGACATATATATTCTCATAATGTAATCATTTCCACTTCCTTGATTATATTTAAAAACAGGAATATACTAAATGAGAACTCAGCTTTGATATGCATTATATTGTTACTTCATATCCTTTCTAGTCATGGTTAGATCATTTCCAGTCTAAAAATACTATTCATGTAAATGAAAATACAAAACATCTGCCATGCTTCACCTCAGAGCAGGCTGTGTCTCTTTAATATGTACAGAAATTAAAACTGCTTGAGTATACTTAGCATTGAAATATAGAAAGAAAATATTTGAAGAAGTTCTCATAATCCCTTAAATGATTATTTCAGGTACTTATGGATTGATGTGTTAATAATTTTTTATTATTTATAATAAATAATTTAGAAACATTAAAAAATTTAAAACTAAAAGTGCTGTGTAACCCCGGAGATTAACATGACCCCAAGGATGTGAACTATAGCAATAAATGTAATTCAAATTAAGGAAGAGGATAAACTAACCAATAAATCCCCACTACTTCTATCTAGAGGTAAAATGGTAGATACTTTAAATACATTGAGTTCACCAAAAAAATAAATAAATAAGAGGAAAGAAAGAGAGAAAAAGAAAGAAAAGAAATGAAAAAGTCTTTTGTCCTAGATTTAGAAGGAAAAAACATCATTCACTTGTTCAGAATCACACTTGGGAGGAACAGCCTATGGATAGAATTGAAACAGTAATCAGACCAGCAACCACCACTAAGAAAACATTTGCTTTTAAAGTGTGGAAGATATTTTTAACAGAGCTATTGCCCCCTGAAATGAAGCTAATCTCAATAGAATTAAAAAGAGGGAGCAGAGTGTCTCCAGAAGATGTGCCAAACCAGACTCTTTTTTGTGTTAATGCATAGGCTAGCATATTGCCTTAAAATTGTGTCATTATTAAGTGAACTCTCTTGTAGTAAAGCAGAAAGAAATGACCAGAAGACATAATTTTCACATATAGTTAACAGTCCTAAATGGCAAGTTTGTACCATAGTCAACAGTTTTCAAAATTATATGTTCTAGATAGTGCCTCGCTTTGTTTTAAACAGGCAGTTGCAGCAGCATCAGCCGCTTCAAGAGATTTCAGTGGAATAGGTGGCTTAGGAGAGCTCTTGGAAAGTTCTTCAGAAGCATCAAAGTTAAGCTCCAAAAGTGCGAAGGAGTGGAGGAACCGAAGAAAGAAAAGAAGACAGAGGGAGCACCTTGAAGGAAACAAAGGAGAGGGAGACAGGTTTCCCAAATCTGAATCTGAAGACAGTGTCAAAAGAAGAAGTTTCCTTTTCTCCATGGATGGAAACCGTCTGACTAGTGACAAGAAATTCTATTCCCCTCATCAGGTACGGCTTTCTACTAAGTGCTACAATTTGTTTTGTCATTGCTATTGCTTTTTAATTGCTGTTATTTTTGTTTTGGTATATGTTTGTAATATCTGATTTAAATGAGGGACAGGTAACTAACATTTAATAGTTATTTAAATTTGTATCATAAATTGCCTTTAAACAGGACTTTGATTAAACCATTATTAACTTTTAATTTGAGGTAATCAGCTTTATACGTTGAACTATTTTGAGACCCTGTTTCTTAATTTGCTTTTTTGGGAGGAGGGGCCTATCTGTCAGACTATTCAGGTAAACAGTTTTGCAATTTCTTGTTTACCTTTTCTGTTTTAAGACCTCAAGTGAACTTGCCTTTTTGGCATCTGGGTTTCTACCTTTATTATTTGAGGTTCTGATCACAAGTTCTGTTCTGATTTAATGCCAACTAACCAATTCATCAGCATAGTTTCAAGTCAAAAAGGAAAAACAATTTCAACTTTTTGTCTGTTAATAAGTTTTATCTATTGCAAAACGTAAAGAGTAAATAGTTATGGTATCTGTGATAAGAAGAGTTATGAATTTGAACACTATTTGGTTTAAAATCTTGAAAAGAAATGCCCCTGGATTTTGCCTTTATCTTTTGGTATGAGAACTGGACTGTCATGAGTCTTCATTATCCTGATATGGTATCATGCTATGATACATTACAATAAAATTTTGACCTAAATGCTCTTGAAGAGAACTAAATTGAAGACAGTCTATTTTTGTTCCGATTTAATGCCAACTAACCAATTTGTCAGTCTAGTTTCAAGTTTCAAAAAGGAAAAATAGTTTCAAGTTTTTATCTGTTAACAAGTTTTATCTATTGCATAATGTAAAGAGTAAATAGTTATGGTATCTGTGATAAGTGCGGTTATGACTTTAAACACTATTTGGTTCCATTAAAATTTAATGTGCTCTGAATTATTAACTCTTCTAATCATATTAATCTGGATCAGAATTATACCCTAAAGATAATGCGCTATATAATTAAGTTAGAGCAAAAAATTGTACATCAACCAAAGGGTATAGTATCCTTCTTCCTAAGAAGAAAAACTTTTTAAAAATTGGAGTGGTAAGCACAAAATTCAATGTAGTGTTTAGTTCTTGCTTGGGAGAAAAGGCATATATAATAAGTTATGAATGGGTGTTTATATTATAATTTATATTGAACATACAAATAAATTAAAAAAATAAACTCTATATTAATATTAATAACTTTTAACTTGAATTCTCATATTAGGACAAAATAGTTATGTACATGCAAGAAGTTATAAGATAAAAATCATTTTACTATAAATAATGCCAGTATCAAGAGATCCAACTATTTTGCATAATACAAATATAAAGTATGGTAGTAGATCAATATAACTCATTTGGGGTTAACCAGAAGATCTATAAAGCAAGTCAGTTTCTCAGACCAGGTTTTTTGCCTTAAACTGTCACCCTTAATATTTTAGCATTATTAAGATTATTAGGAGTCATTAGGAGTAGTAGTATTTGAAACCATAGAGTAATGATTGATGTCACAAAAGCTTGTGCTCATATCTCAACTCCAAATTAGTGTGACTTTGGTCAAGTCACTTGTACTTTGAAAGATTTTTGTAAAATGGGGTAATGATGTCTACCTTAAAGAATTGTGGGGGATTAAGCAACATATGGAATACCTATGTGACAAATAGTAAAGCTCTTAACTTAAAGTGAATTCCAAATGAGGAAAACTAAAAATTTGAGTAGATTCAAGTACTCGCAAACGTACATGCATAGTAGCAATATTTACATGAAAATACATAGTTGCATGTTTTTGAAAACAGTACTTGTCCACCATTGTTTCATCTTTGTGCTCAAGCAAAAACTTATGGATTTGTTCATTCAGTCAATCCACAAATATTTGTTGATCACCTTAAGTGGCAGAAGTAGTTCTAGATGCTGAAAATATCTCAATGAACAAAATAGCTACAATTCACTGACCTCATGAAACTTTATACTAAAAGAGGGGAGAGACAATAAACAAGATAAACAAGCTATGGACTATGTTAGAAGGTGACAAGGGCTATGGGAATAAATGAATGAATGAATGAATAAATGAATAAATAAATAAATAAATAAATACATAAATAAATACATAAATACATAAATAAAGCAAGCAAGCAGGAAAGGGGGATCAGGGGAGCTAACCAGAGGTAAACATTTTAAATAGGCTGGTTTGGGAAAACCTCACTGGAAAGGAAACATTTCAGCAAAGATTTAGAGGTGGCAAGGGAAGAGGCTATCTTATGGAAGAGCATTCCAGGATGATGAAAGGGCAAGTGTAAGTCCCTGGACCGGGCCATGTGAGGGCACTGAGGATGCTCAGTGGGCAGCTGGGAGGCCTGTGCTGAGTGAGCCACAGAGAGGCAATACTAGAGAGAAGTTAGCTGACAGTCAGGGCTTAAACACTAAAGAGAGAATCAGTATACACATATGTTACATGTAGTTCATTTTATATGTGTAGATAGAGAGATGTTGAGATAGGTAGATAGGTAGGGAAATCGATGTTAAATAGATAGATTAGACGATAGTCTATATTTCAGAAGTAAAAGAAAAAAGCCTCTTAGCGCTGATATTTACATATCCCAGTAAAAAGAGGCAGAGAACATTAACACAGCTCATAAGCAATAATACACCAGAAGCCATTTACGATTTCTGGTTTTGTGAACAAAAAAGGACTCTGATGGGAAAGACAATCAGTGACGTGGAGACAGGAAGCAGAAGACGGACAGGGCTTACTGTTCAAAGCGATATGTCTTCTGAGAATGTCAAGGCAGAGAAGCTGTAAATTATGGGTACCCTACCCTCTACTATCATAAATTTTAAATGTTATTTTACATTTATTACCTTATTTTATTTTAAAATAGATAATATATGTTCACAGTACAAAATGAAAAAAGTGTTGAAAGGTGCACAATGTAAAGTAAATCCCGCCCAAAGATTTCATCTATGTTGTTTGGACACACTGAGGCAATTTATTTTAAACCAAAACCTCCATATCTAGAATGAAGTGTAATTGTTGAGTAATTGAAAATATTGATAAGGGACATACATTTAACTTGAAATGCTATTAAGTAGGTATTTCTAACAAATACTTTACATGCTTTTACTAGAACATGTTCAAATTCCCTGCTCTGTCTTCCATCTTGACTTTTCCCAATCCCCTTGGAGTTTAATCCCTAAATGCAAGATTGTGTTTTACAGACCTAATTTCTTCTATTTGCCCTTTTGCTATTGAAAATTAAGAAAAAGCGTTCAGATTTACCTTCTTGGAACAAGGCAAAACAAAATGAAACAACAACAAAACAACCACAACCACCACCAACACCACAACAAAAACAAAAAAACCCTGGGGCCTGAGGCAAAGAAAGATGATCTTTTGGTTCTTAAAGCATAGTAACTTGTTTTCCCTAGAGACAGGGCTGCCACAGCTGTGGGTATTCCCTCCACTCTGCTTCATCTTCTAGTGTGTTATTTTTGGTTTATTTTCTCTGAATACTATTTTTGTTATCTTCTTTTTCAGTCTCTATTGCCTTGAAAGCTGTGCTCACACCCATTATTATATTTTCCAAAGAGTGAATAGAAGTTTCAAATAAACTCAAAGATCTGGAATGCCTTTGAAAACACCCTGACATAAAAATATGCAAATTAAAGGCATGTACAAGATACATCATGGACTGCCACATACCACATACTGCCAACCAACACCTTCAGTTTCCAAAGACAGTATCTGAGCATCAGCATATTAGGATGTTTACACTGAACCACCCCAGGGATTAATGTAAGACAAAGTTAGCATTCCTCTGTGTGTAGGGCGAGGTCCACCTGCATAGAACCACCTGGAATGCATGGTGAATATTCAGATTCCAGAGTCCTACCTCCTGCTGACTGTATCCCAATTCCAAAAAAGCAAGGACCTAAAAATTCACACTAAAGTTTCAAAAACAAGTCTGTACATTACCAATATTATACCGATAATTTAAACTGAGTCTGGGGAGTTTAAAAACAACATTCTTTATTTTGGGGAGCTGAATTAATGTATTCACAATGTCAAATTTCTTCATCAGTCTGATGACTGGAAACTCAGGTTAACTACTGCCTGACATTCGGGAAACAAACCTGCTGCACACGTTGTGTGTCACAAAGGCCTAGTCGCAGGTTGAACAAACTAGACAGTCCATCATTTCTGTGGCTTCCCAAACCAAATCCAAAGCAACAGTGCATCTCTTAATGAAAAATATCTTTCCAGAACATCACTGAGATAGAGGGCAACAAAGGTTATTCTAGTGCTTTGCAGTCTGGGAAAAGCCATAAAAGTAAAGCTACAAATGGGGCCTAAGAAAATCAGCATGACCTAATTAGGCAGAAGGAACAAAAATAAATTTGATGGAGTCTGCCTTTACGTTTTTTCCACTAGAATTATTTTTATTTGGTTTTACACTGAAGCTTGGAGGAAGAAAGGGAAGGTCCAGGCATATTTATGCTGGCATATGGCTATGTATGCATATAGATGTGTACGTATGCATACATATTACCCTGGTTGTGCAGAGAGGTAAGAGAGGTGATGGGAGATGAAGTAGGGGAGCAACAGGGAATGTCACTGTTAATGGGGAAGGGAGTAATCCAAGATTCTGCAGACTGAATAAAGGTGTTTTTGAAAATTTCATCAAGGCTAGGGTAAACAAAATTATTTGGTACTGATAATTTAAAATCTATCCAAAAAGTGAAAGAAGGTACTTCCTGCTAAATCCTCACTTTCCTGTACCAAAAAGTATTTACTTGATTTATTTGTGAATACATATAATACAAAAAGTTTTTGAATCATCCAGTTCCTTTTAATAAAATTAAAGTGAGATGAGAAGGAAAAACTGTCTTCCACATCACCTTTAGTAAAATCATGTATATTTGTGGTTTTTTAAAGCTAATGTTAAATGTTAAATAGGATAGTAATTTATATAGCAGTTTAGGAATTCTCTCTGTTGTTACTGCTATGAAATATATTCTCTCAAATAATGTAAATCATTAGCAATCATTTGGGAAACTGTTAGTACATTTGGAAGGCAACATCATAGGTAAATTTTGTGACTTTTATTCCCACGTGGATAGAGACAGAAAAAGAGTAATTCCCTTTTAGAATCAAAAAGAAGGGAATGAAGTGATAACAGTTGTTTTTAAAAAATTATTCTGAAGTAAAATATTTGCTACAAATATTACGCATTTGAGCCAATAGTCTCACTTGAGCCATTCCTTATCTTCCAAGCTGCATGCCTTTCAAATAATAGCATTTGGGAGTGAAAGCCACCTTCTGGCTGTTAACCACCACTCCCACCAAAAAGAATCATTTGTCCTATCCAGGATCAAGTTCTGTGCCTATAACATCACGATGACAGTGCTAGAGTGAAGATTAAATGAACTGGACGTGCACTTAGTAAACTGCAAATCAGGATTCTTAATAAAAAAAAACAGTTTATGCTTACATTAACATTGCAATCTATAAAAAATATATCGAAACATATGTGTTCTCTATACACTTGATTACCTGTGCTTAAGAGCAAGACTATTCTAACCCAAAAGCAAATGTTCTGCAATATTCAGACTTTTACTAAATAATTGTGTGTGTGCCCCCATTCCTCTCTTCCTTGCTCTGTTCTCAGTCTCTGTTAAGTATCCGCGGCTCCCTGTTTTCCCCACGACGCAACAGCAAAACAAGCATATTCAGCTTCAGAGGTCGGGCAAAGGATGTCGGTTCTGAAAATGACTTTGCTGATGATGAGCACAGTACATTTGAAGAGAGCGAGAGCAGGAGAGACTCACTGTTTGTGCCCCACAGACACGGAGAGCGACGCAACAGTAACGTTAGTCAGGCCAGTATGTCATCCAGGATGGTGCCAGGGCTTCCAGCAAATGGGAAGATGCACAGCACTGTGGATTGCAATGGTGTGGTTTCCTTGGTGGGTGGACCAACAGCTCTAACCTCACCTACTGGACAACTTCTGCCAGAGGTGATAATAGATAATAAGTTAGCTAACTCTGACATTACACACCAATTTGAAATAATGAAGACCTGGCAGGTTTAGCCTGTTATACCATCTTGCTTCCCCAAAATGAAAGTCCTTAAACATGAAATATGACTGATTGAATGCAAAACAATAGAATATTCAGAACCAACTGAATTGTATGGGACCAGTAGCTTTCAAATACTTTAGGTTAAAAGAGCCCAGTTTTTAGAATCTGGGATGAAACACATATCTGCAAATTTAGTAGACTACCAACACAAAATACTGGACATTTTAACAACCAAATCATTATTATACATATATGTTCACCCAGAATTGTATAATTATCTATTCATGTTCTGGAAATTTCATATACTTAAAATTAAATATTGTAATGACCAACAAAGACAATGGACAGTTTTCACACGACTGTCAATATTAACAATCTTGAAAATGTTTTGATATCTATTAAAATGACTCTAAAATGTTTTGATTTCTTATAGGATGGCATATAGAAATACTTTTTAAAATATCAGGAAAGCACACACATTTCATTGTACATCTGTGTTTGTGCATGAAAAATTGGCCCATATATGTCAATATTGTCAATATAACCTCAAAGAAAATAATTCAGTCTTGGGACTATATAATTCTATTATTTGTTTTGGGGGAATATTGATTTGTTTAGTAATCACTGAAATAAGCTGAAAAATGATTTGCATTTGGGAAAAATGAAACAATATATGACATGAGCATGCTGATGAAAATTTTCCCTGAAAATTCCAGCAGGTTAATTAAAATATTTCTGCAATATAATTGCCTTAAACAATTGCATCTAACTGGTGAATTCTTGTTAAGGGGTATCACCTGTGATATTTTTTTAAACAGTATTTATTTATAACTTAAAAATAAATGAATATTATTACTTGAAAACTGTTACTTGGAAAAATTGCATGTAGCATGATTTTCCAAAGAAATGCTATGTGGTGTTGTATTACTCATTGAAAAGGGTGGTTTGAGCCATCAGTATTTGGTTTGCAGGGCACCACCACTGAAACGGAGGTCAGAAAGAGAAGGCTAAGTTCTTATCAGATTTCAATGGAGATGCTGGAGGATTCCTCTGGAAGGCAGAGAGCCATGAGCATAGCCAGCATCCTGACCAACACAATGGAAGGTAAGAAGCAGGCCATACATGGGAAAGGCAGCTTTCTATGATGATTCTATGCTGTGTGTGAATCTATACCTTCTTCTCATAGAATAACCACAGTCAATTACCCAGGATCTGAACTGTGTCATAGACCTAAGTAGATGATATATGAAATACATTATGTTCACACTGATTACAAAAACGAATATTGTCCTTATTTCTTTTTTTACTTGGGTCCTTATCTTGTCTGCAGAGTGGTATTTTACCACTTGATATATCAGTGAGGATTTATCTTTATGTTACATTATTCTTAAGCAATTAGAGGGAACAACTTCCTTTTTAAGTTTTTGTATATAGAAGCACAAGGAGACATCTCTTTCAACCTTTAGTCTGTTTTCTAGGCAAGGTGGTGGGGTCTGGGGAGCATATAAATGAGTTGGACAAATCAAAACCTGTGCTCCACTTCAACAAGGACCCTAAAAAAATCTCTCTCCTCCATCTTCCACATACACAGAAACCATTGCATTCCTTCGAAGGAGGGCTGACAATGCTTGTTGGTTTTGACACAGGAGAATAGGCAGCAACTATTACTCCCTTGTTCATTCCTAAATAAGTCCCCACTTCTTGAAGCTTAGAGGGATGTTACATCAGTACAGCAATTTTATAAGTCAATTATATGTCAGCTCTAACATATGTTATTATGTTCTTCAGAAAATACCAATTACCTTTTGTATCTTATTCTGTTGGTGTATTGGCTATCAGAACAGTCACATAGTATTACAGGTTTCACCCATTAAAATTACCAGTAACTGCTCATATATTAGGCTAAAATTCTGAAAGATATGGGAAATATGAATAACAGAAGTAGGTTTGGGTCTGAATCTGTACTAAAAAGAAGGATATACGGTATTCTCATTATGTGCAAGATCAGTGCTGATGTGGAGACAATCAGAGGAGAGAATGAGCCACACATACTAATAAGGATCACAGCTTTAGATGGTGTTCTTAAAAAGGTACTTTCAAAAGAAACAATATTTGTTTGACACATTTAATATTCCTGTAAATCTGGTATAAAAATTCTGTTTTGATACAGAGAATACAGCGATTTGATCAACTATTACCTAAGTTATTAGGTAATGAAGTTAGTTTGAAGCAAAATATTAAATTCAAAGTATTTATTTTCTGTATTTAATTAAAGGAGGAATAAAGTCTACTTACATGACATTTTTAATGAACATTTTATGAAAATATTTAATGAGATTGTCTTCTCATGTTTAAGCTAAGTTATATAAACTTCCATCCCCAAGTAGAAGCATCAATTTTATCAAATAATGTGTAATCTACAGCAACAGTAATTAATTTGTATTGCTATTTACTACTCTTCCTCTCTATTATTCCCCCAGAACTTGAAGAATCTAGACAGAAATGTCCGCCATGCTGGTATAGATTTGCCAATGTGTTCTTGATCTGGGACTGCTGTGATGCATGGTTAAAAGTGAAGCGTCTTGTCAATTTAATTGTTATGGATCCATTTGTTGATCTTGCCATTACTATTTGCATTGTCTTAAATACCCTCTTTATGGCCATGGAACATTACCCAATGACTGGTCAATTCAGCAGTGTGTTGACAGTAGGAAACCTGGTAAGTTCATTTGAAGTTTACTTATTTCCTTGGGTAAGAGTGAGGGAGACAGACCTAAAAGGAAATCCATCTGTGCTATGTTGAAACAAAAATTTTATCTTCTTTCTTCATAGGAAGAAACACCTCAAGGAATATTACAGGGAATCTCAGTTATAAGGTCTAAAATTCAACTAGTATGAATGCTGACTGTTTAGAGCAATGTCTTACCAGTTGTAAACTTATTAAAATTTTTACTTTCATTCTTGCTGGAAATATAGATCCAGAGAAAACATGAGATCTAAATCTGGCTCCACAAACATGCAGTTTTAACACACACACAGCCTCTGAAGAGATCATGTCCATTGAAAAGGAATAAACAGGTTGACTTCTATACCACAGAGGGCATAGTTGCTTCAAATTAAATTACCTAACAAAATGCTTTAGTAGTATTTACACAGAGATGAAATATAAAAACGCATTTGTAATTTAGCCACACTTTAGGTTCAAATTACTTGAGCAGGCATCTGTGAATGTGTATGCCGACATGTACATTTCCTCCTGAATTATATGAAGAAATTGAAATGGATGAACAAGCAAAAGGATTTGTGTTAATCAAGACCTTCCTTTTTGGCCAAGACAGAAACAAACTCAAGAGGGGGGAAAAAAAGACTGAGCTGTGGAAAGGAAAGGAAAAACAAACTTCCAAACTATATAATGGGTAATTTTGTAGTTAGGCTCCAGGAAATTGTTTTAACCAAGGGCCTGGGTATAGCCCAAATGTTCACTGCATCTTTTATCTCTAGGACAGGAAACATGCTTAGCCACAGCTCACTGGTTTTATACCCTGGAACTTCTGCACTTAAAAAAGACTAGATCTGGGGCTGGCCGAGTGGTGCGATGGTTAAGAACTGGCTTGGAATGCCAAAGGGCCTGGTTCGGATCCCACATATGAGGGCCAGTAACACTGCCCTCCTTTAAAAAAAAAAAGAGACTAGATCCCTTTTTAAATTCCACTTCAAAGGCTCTCATGATAGAACTCTACCTGGCATAGTTTGGGTTGGATGCTCACCTCTGGTTAATCAGCCTTGGCAGAGGGTGAAGTCAGATGAAAACACCGCAGCCCTAAGGAATCATACAGGTGGAGGAGCAATCCCCAACAGAAGGGGGAAAGAGAATAATACTTGGAAGAAAGTTGCATAAACATCTACCTCAGTAACTGGCCTCAACTTCACCGCATTATTTCATTCAAACCTCACCAGATTCTTGAGATTTTCACCTTTGGCACCTGTGATGTTGATTTTTGTTCTGATTGTTCCTTTATCTTTCTAATCAGGCCAACTCTGCCTCCTTTTCTGAACTTCTCTTCTTATGCCTATTACAGCTCTGTTTTTTACTCAGTGTTTTTATATACTTGACAACTCTAATGATTATCCACTCTTGTGATACAGGCTGTGTCCCAGTCCTGTGTTTCCAACTGTTACAGATCATTGCTCAAGGACAACTTTAAACACAGTATAGGAGAGCTAAAGGATCACCTTTTCCCACAGTCTATTGAAAGTCCTAACAATCTCACTTCATTTTGTGTTACCTCTAATAGTGGCTTTCCAGCTTCAAAGATAGGAATCTTATAGCTATTTTGACTTAGTTCTCCCTTCTTTCTTACTACAACTTGTTATAAAGACCCATTACTTCTTCTTTCAAGGAATCTCTTTTTTTTAATACTAAACTACTATTAAAATAACATTTCTGGTATTCTTCTAATGAGGCTCTTGTGTAATAGTAGTCATGTATACACCAATTTCTGTACTCAATATGCTTTGACCTTGATAAGGTGTCTATTGTCTATATTTGTGGTTCAACACTCTTATCTGGTTTTCAAGACTCCCCCCACCTATCTGATCCTATCCTTCCTATATTATCTTATTGTCCACTGTTTCCTAATTAGCCACTATCAGCCCCATCAGAACAGCCTTGTCATTGTACCACATAAACACCACACAAGTATTTATATGTTTATGTATGGGAAAACATTTCACTGTTCTCTACATTTACATTTAGAGTATTCTCCATGTTGTATTATAATTCTTGATTTTCAAATCCATTATAAATTA